CCCAGCTAGTTTTTTTTTCTATTTTTAGTAGAGATGGGGTCTTGCTCTTGCTTGTTTTTTATTGACAAGACAATTGCTGAAGTATTTCATTTCCTCCTAAAATTTTTTTCTCAAACATCAGTTGCTTCATCCCTACTCAATTTCTTATAAGATGAAATTACTGTCTGCTTTGCTCAGAAATAGTTTCAAGAAAATTACTCAACAAATTCTTTGGTAACCTCTTATATTATTTCTCACAGCTAAAACTGGTGACCTCTTGAGAAATTAGTGTGATTTTTTTTCCTCCAGTAAGCCTATCTTGTAATAGACAATTTTAGTCAAATGTTACCAAAATAACTCCTACACAACTAGAAGAAAAAAGAAGATATAGTGATATAAAAAATATATTAAAAAGTTAAGCAAAAATTTTCAAAAGATGGAACTCTATTTATCAATGTTCTTATTCATCACATTTTTCAATCCTTACCAAAATATAGCAAAACACCAATAACACATTAGCAGTTTAATAGAACACAGTTACATTATAGCAAGCAAATTTCTTTGTATTAGATAATTTATATAAAATTTGGCTTTAATTGTAATTGTCTCCAAATAGCTTATTTATCGTAATCTACAGTGTTATAGATGCAGATTATGTGAAAGAACTGTAAGATCTATAGTTCTGTAATTGATGCTTTGTTTGGTTTTTGTTTGGCTTGGCTTGGCACACATCTTTATAATATATTAGTTAATTTTACAAAGTAATTTAATGAAAAAGCTATTTAATCTGTTGACTAATTCCAAAAAACAAAAACTTTAAGAACAGAATAAAAATGTATTTATAATCTGAAAGTGACATATGACCTATACTTTATAGATGGAAACCAAGACACAAAAATATCGGACTTGTTATTCAGAACTATACCAAATATGTATAATTTTTAGCAATTTGGAATGCAAGTTTCATACTTATCAACTCAAGTATTTGAAACACCTATTTTCTAAGGTGTCTAAACTAAATATTCAAAAGAAAAAAAGGGGTGGCACCTGTGACTCAAAGGAGTAGGGCACTGGCCCATATACCAGAGGTGGCAGGTTCAAACCTGGCCCCGGGCCAAAAAAAAAATCTCCAATTATTAGCTGGGCATTGTGGCTGGTGATATAAAAAATATATTAAAAAGCCGGTCGTCCCAGCTACTAGGGAGGCTGAGGCTAATCCCAAGAGCTGGAGGTCGCTGTGAGCTGTGAGGCTACAGCACTCTACCGAGGGTGACAAAGTGAGACTCTGTCTCTAAAAAAAAAAAAGAAAAGAAAAGAAAAAAAGATTCTGCAGGGAAGGAAATATTTCTTAAAAATTCATTAATATGTCAATTTCAGCATATGAAAAATTATGACTTGTTAAATAGGTCTATCTTGGAAAATTAACATTTGTGTATGCATAAATGCAAACTTTCACAAAAAGTATTACTACCATAAATATTCCCAAATTCACATAAAATCGACCTTTTTTTGAGGATTACTTATTCATAAAAATCATACCCAGGCTAATGTTTAAAACAGTCTTCAGAATAATAAATACAGTAACATATGTAAAAGCTGTCGTCAATTAATTACAAACTTTTAGTGCTGCTAAAACGATTGACCACTGTTTCTCTGTGAGTTTTCTCACCTCCTGACTTACCATTTGTTTGCATCAGGTTACTAAAAAGCCCTGAATGTGGATGACAGACCAGAAAACAGGAATCTGAAAACTAGGTGAACGCATCCTCCCGTAACGACATGGACATCACAACAGCAGATTTGCTTGAACGTAGATAGAACTTTAATTAACATGTAAAAATAACCTCTTGGTAAAATAAAACAGCTCAACTGTATATTGTTAATGCATTTTTTTCTTTTATGATTTACTATATCCTCAGGGAGTACAGCAGCTATTTTGAAGTTGTATGGCTTCCAAGTGGTATATCATTCTTTTTATAAATTTAATTCAATGTATTTTTTAATGCCTGTGACAAAGAAAAGCTATTGACATATTCACTAAGAAATGTCCTGCCCCAAGGTCCGCAGGATAAAATACTCACTTATTAAGCAAATATAGTTCCGTGGCCGGTACCCAGGAGGCAATCAACACACCATTGCCTTACTTTCTCTTTTCCTGTCTTACTACAATTGTCATTCGGTGAAATCAGGCCCTGATAAGAAAAGACTGTAACATCCACACACTATAATTTCAAACATTAACATTTACAAAGAAAAGGGATTAAAACGTCTATAAAATGTATTAGAATTTTTATTACATTGTATTAAAATTTTATAAAAATTATTAGACTCTACAGTAATAGCCTGATTGTAGATAGAATTTTTTTTTCTAGAGACAGAGTCTCACTTTATCGCCCTCGGTAGAGTACTGTGGCATCACAGCTCACAGCAACCTCCAACTCCTGGGCTTAGGTGATTCTCTTGCCTTAGCCTCCTGAATAGCTTGAGACTACAGGCGCCCACCACAATGCCCAACTATTTTTTTGTTGCAGTTTGGCCAGGGCCAGGCCCCCACCCTCAGTATATGGGGCCAGCGCCCTACCCACTGAGCCACAGGCGCCACCCAGATTTTTTAAGGTATTTTTTTCTAAACTAACTTTATTTAAACTTGGCATTTAGTAAAGACATAATTATCACCTAGGTTCCAAATTTTACTTGGAAAACAATCTCATATAGCCCATTACAGATACTGCCATTTACTGCAAGTATATTTTCATATAGTAAGAAAGTAAATTTTTATTAGGACATAAAATCTATACAGGCTTTAACTAGCAACAATAAGAAGCTATAAGAACTGCTAATGTTTTATCAGTACAACTTGCTATAATTTCTATCATATACTACAGACTTGAACTCTATAAAGACTTGTATACTCTTAAAATTAAATATTAAATAAAACTAAATACTCGATTTACCTCCAATATGTGATCCTTTGAAAAATACATGCCTTCATTACTTGTGTGAAGTGCTGCAACTTCCCAAAATATCAGGCACGTTCATGTTCAAACATTAGATACAAAATGCATTATAAACTCAAAAAATAATACTTTAGATTTTACCTAATCACTGTTTACAAATTCTAATATGAGGATAAATAAACATACATTTATGTAAAATATTTTCATATTTAGGACTATTACAAGTTAATCCCTTGGTGATAGATTTTTCTTAATAAAAAAAGATTATCATGGCAGAATTAGGAAAAAATTATTTGCATTATGATTTTTTTTTTTAAGTTATAAGCATTGTGAAGTGCCTGCGAGATTGATAGACAAAGGGGTATTGTTAAACAAGATACCCTCAGGCCTTCCTTTAAGGAATTTGAAGATCAGTGGGAAACTTAGAAAAGTAAACATAATAAAAATTGTAATAAAGTACTATACTTTAAGTTTTAAGGGAGCTCTGAGGAGGGATACAACTGTCTGATGAATGGATGTCCTCATCCATTTCAATCTATGGAGTCAGCAGATCCCTCACTTTTGAACATAATGCTGTTTGATGAAAAGCTATTGTCTGTGGTAACCTTAGGATCCCACATCCCAGACTGTAAGCAGGGAATAATAATTGTAAAGATGCATTTAGTTACTTGTTTATAGGGGACTTGGTACCATGAAAACACTTGGCACTTATCAAGTTACTATTATCTGCTAGCCAATATGCTCAGAGCATTTCTGACCCTTTACTCCACTCAGTCTTATTAAATTAGTACTAGTATTATAATTTATCTAATATTATGTATTATGTTTAACTTTTAGATATGGGAACTGAGGCCCATAGTGGTCAAGGAACTTGTCCCAAATTATAAAGGTAGAAGACAGGCTTTTAACAACTGTTAGTAAACCTTCTCTTACAATATGAGAAAAAACATCAGACACCCAGGAAAATGAGACTGTGGGATTTGGTGGAGAGCTACAGGCAATGTCAGTTATTCATTCTTCAGCCACTTTTGTTAGCATTGGCAATGTATAAAATCATTACTCTTCGTATATAAATAAGCCTCTCAAAAATCTCTCCAGGCATCTGAATATTTGGACAAGTGGAAAGACCCTACTATAAATATCAGAGAGTGTCCCAACATGGTAATATGACATCATTTTGTACCTAATTATTTTATAACATCAATATATTCATGATATAATATCACATATGACACTGATACCTTTGCTATTTTAAGTTGAACTTCCCATTTTAAACAGGGATTGTACTTGACCACTCTTATCATGGTATCAAATTCCACAAATAAAATATTCTTTTACTACTATCATAAAACTATATCTAGGTATTACTGAAGTACCGTGACTTCATTACAGTAAACTTCAAGTTAGTACCACAGTACTAGCCAAATGGCTAAGCATTGAGCTGAGCTGAATATCTGCTCAAGTGAATTGTTGTTTAGGCTGAAATCAATTTGACTAAATAAACATCACTCACTCCAGTGGCATAAAGAATATGCTTTCATGTTGGGAGTAAACCCTAAAGCTACAATGTCCAAATTTTTAAAAAGGTATAATCTAAAAATTCAATATTGAACTTCAGATGTATTTCTGAAAATCTAATTTTAATTAATCATTTCCTATGATGCTCTTTAATTTACATGAAAGATAAAAATCTCATTCTTGGACTAACAGTGGGAAAAACACCTTTTCAGTTTTTTTTTTTTAAAGGTTTTACTGAAGAGTGTTTTTAGAAGAAGTGTCATATACACAACTAACTAAAATTGACTACTGACATGTTCTAGCCATCCCTGAGACTCAACTTATAAGAATATAGCTGTTAAAAATATATATATATATATAACTGTTTAAATTTAGCACCATTTGTATACATAAAAAACCTGGTATGCTAAATTAAAAAATAGCTTATGCTCTACAATCTATTCTTCATTTCTTTATAGAGTGCAAAGACTAAAGTCCCAGGAAAAAAAGTACTACAAACATGCTTACATCATAACAGAAAGGTCTTCCTACTATTCCACTTTCTTTTTAAAACGGAGACATTTCAAAGGTAGAGAAAACCCTTAGCCGAGTTAGGTGATTGAAGTAAACGTAAGAGACAGTCACCACTATGTTTTTACAAAGGCCCAGCACGGGCGTGATTGTCCCCAAGGCAATGATCAAACCGAGTCTAACAAAAACAAAGGGTAAATCTTGCAGCAGGACACCCAGGGAATTGAGAAGAGGATTTTTGGGAGTGAATATCATTCGCAGGAGAGACATGAAACTGAAGATGTAGACTGGATATATCCAGGCTGACTTGTACACCCTGGGATGACCGGCCACACGCACCATTTCAATAGTGTCAGACCACAGCAGAAAGTTCCACAGAAATATCTCGGCCCGCATGTCCCGCCGAGACATGGCTGCCAGGATTCCTGAGTGAAATGATGGTTCCTGGGGTTCCATCAGCTCAGACACCTGGCTCTGGGTCATGGGTCGCGATGGTTGTGAGATCTGGGTTCTCCCTGCATCTGGAGGAGATGAAGGGTTGTCTTCATTTTGCTTCACCTGCTCCGTCACAGTTCTTACTTGTTGCAAAGAGGTTGTTTGGGTGTTCCCGTCTTCAATGCCTGCAATACATTGATTTATTCGAATTTAAATTGTATGAAAATGTAAACTTCAATTCAAAAATAAAAGTTCTAAGTGTTGTCTAAATAAGCATTCTCTTGGAACTTCCAGAGAAGAATGAGGTAGCACACTGAAAAAATACAGAGTAGAGAAGGCTCCTGGTGTCTTGGTATTTTCCTGGGTCTGGATCCTTAGTCATTTTTACCATTTCATAGTAGCAGCCCTCTCTGGTTAGTGAGTTGAACACTTTCACATATTATTTCATTTCATTCTCAGAGAACAAAGTTGAGAATTAGGGATTACCAACCCATTTTACAAATATAAAAACTGGGCCCAAGAGGTTAAAAGATGCCTCAATTCAGATTCAGATAAATTCAGATGGGCAAAACTGGAATTCATACCCAGGTTGTCTGACACTCTTAAACTCTTAACTTTATGGCTGCTATTACTTATTTGGTGGTAATGTATCATTTGCTCATTGCAAAACACACGAATATCATAAAATCAAGTGATTCTAGAAATTCACTGGTCCGAGCTTGTCATTTTATAAGATAAAGCAGAAGCTCACAGGAATTATTAAATATTACCGCTGCCCTAGGTCTCCAGGCATGGAGTTTGGTGCTAAAAAGGAATCTATGTAACCATCAGAGATTCATAGGAAACAGTGACACACTGAATCCAAGATTTTCAGCTATTCTTTCTCAAAGATTTTCAAAGCAGACAGTAAGACTGGCTAGTCTAAAGCATCTCTTTCGTTGGTCACGAAACTGGACCTAGCCAACACACTGGTTATCTAAATGAGTTTAATAAATCACTTATCACCACCATGGGTGTGCGTGTGTGTGTGTGTGCACAATGGTGTCAAAGGTGAGATTATGAAGGGACCCTGTTATCTCAACACATCCAGTGTCGATGGCATTGTTTTTATACGTGAAGGATTTATCATGTTCTTTTCCAAACATTTATCCACTTACAGACACCATTTTTGTTGCTAAGAAATTATCAGGCCTTGACAAAGTTTATTCAGTGAATGTGCCAAACTGCCACGTCACCCAATAGGACTTAAATTCACAGGGAGCCATTAAACTGAACAGCCCGAAAGATCCAAGAGACAAAGTCAATAACAATTTGTGGGACCGCCTTGAGCTGAAAGTGAAAACATTTTACAAATAAATAAATTATGATTATTTATTTATTATGACTAATAAAATGCTTGATTACTATGCATAGAAGTTTTTTAAAGGACACAATAAACTTGGTTTTCTCATATACAATTAACTAATTATTGTCAAATTTTAAGTGTGAATTGAGTGCTTTTATAAAGGAACAAGATTATCTAAATTCTCAATGAAACATCTCTTACTTCTGGTATGAATTATTCATAGGTAAATGCTAGAAGCCATGACCTTAGAAACTCTTTTACCAACCTTAGAAGTGATAGTGGCCTGTTTAGATATCATCTTAATAAATAATCCTCAAGAAAGAGAGAAAATTATATAGCAGTCAGCTATTATTTTTAAATTCATAAAGTCATCTTTTTTAAACTCATGCTCATTTGTATCAATTGTATCTCTCATTTTATTTTTTAAAAATCTGATCTAAAAAATGTGTCTTAAAATATGTCATGTCCAGCCAGGCATGGTGGCTCACACCTATAATCCTTGCACTCTGAAAGGCCAAAGCAGGTGCATTGCCTGAGCTCAGGAGTTCAAGATTAGCTGGAGCAACAGGGAAACCTAATCTCTACTGAAAATAGAAAAACCAGTCAGGTGTTGTGGCGGATGCCTATAGGCCCAGCTACTGGGGAAGCTGAGGCAAGAGGATCATTTGAGCCCAAGAATTTGAGGTTGATGTGAGCTATGACGCTGTGGCACTCTACCCAGGGCAACAGTAAGACTCTATCTCAAAAAAAAAAAAAAAAAAGAAAAGAAAAAGAAATGTCATATCCTAGAGAACTCTCCTTCACCTCTCTTGGTAGATGAAGCTGTTTGAATGAAAATCCAAATGCCTCTGTAAACATTAAGAACAAAGTGTATAGTTTGGGCTTTTGAAAGACAATTGCAAATTCAGCATTGTTTCAAAGCTAGGATGTGGCGATGCCAGAAAGGACACATTAACATTTTTCAAACAGTCAGTGACACTCATAAAATCTCAAGGGAAGCGCCACTGTGGGTAGGAACAATGAATTCTTAGCTAGAGTTTGGTTTTGATGAGATTTGGTGAGATTAGGAACGGGCACTTCATGTCTCTCCACCACCTGGTAGGGGCAAACTTAGATTTGGAGGTACAGGGGCTCTACTTCTTCTTTGCAAGAGAAAAATCATTAGAACTATTAACGGAAAAACACTGCAGGGCTCTCCGCTCCGCGGGCAGGGGATTGTTAAGGAAGGAGAAGTCCTTTGTTCACCGGAGTGGACCAGCAAATGCATCTCAGAGCAGCATCAATGTGTATGTCTGCAACACTGTTGCCTTCGGCTCCCTGGTTACTTTCTTCTCCAAACTAGTACTTTTCAAATGTCCACTTGTGACTACAAATCTTTGTCTTGCTGTTGCTAGTTGTTCTTTGTTCTACTCGGATAAAACAATATTTACTTGTGCAAAATCCACAAAAGATACGCGCATAAAGGCAGCGATCTCACTTCCTGAGAGGCTCCCATTGCCCCGTAAAAAGTAAAAATAGCAGCCTCCCTGCGTCCTTCCCCACAGCTGCTGCCCGCTGCTGCAACATATTGCCTTCACTGTGCCAGCTGAGGAAATGTAATTTCAATAACAGACAAGTGTTTAGGCGGGTAAACTCCTACCTGTTTTATTTTATTATTTATTTATATGGATTTGTTTCTCCCTCTGACTTGTTCCCTAGAAGCTGTTGATTGCTCAAGGTGAGTGTTGGGTGGGGAGTAAAACAAAAAGACGCAACAAGAAATCAAGAGTGAGGCAATTTTGGGAGTAAGCACATACTCTCCCTTGCAAAGAGAATAGGAGAGCAGTAAGTTATTTAAATAGAAAGAAAGAAGAATATAAAGGGAATCCCAAGGAAAGACAGCATGGAACAATCCTGGAATAAAGCTCATACAGAAAAGGCATCAGTGAGACTCCTAATGCTTGTTACAAGCAGACAGGCAGGGCAGTAAAATGCTGTCCCTATCCCCGGCTAGCCATTGGCAAATGACGTAGCAAATAGTATGCAAACTCAGCTTTGTGCCTCTGTCACACCAATAAACACAGAATAATTAACAGGGGCAGGATTTTCGAAAGAAAGTAAATTCTGTGATGAAAGAACATCACAGTGGATTCGAATTGCACTGGGGACTCAGAGGTGACTCATCAGAGAAGTTATAGTTACACAAAGATGGGAAAAATAAGTAGGAATTAATGAGGTGAAGGGTGGAAGAAAGAACTTGCAGGCTAGGAGGACTAGTGTGGGTAAAGATCCTTCCACCGTATGAGTTGAAAGAAAGGGAGTTTGCCAAGAGGTCAGGCAGGCAGAGACGAAAGAATTGTGGAGTAGATAATTTTTATTAGTAATTTCTATATACCAGTCACTGTTCTAAGCCTTTCATATACATTAACTCATTTATCAAAACCCTATGTGTAGATACAATTATTTTCCCATTTTAATGATGAGTAAACTGAGGCACAGAGAAATTAACTACAATAGAACCTCCATAGTTGACTACCTTTGGGCATTGACCACCTCCTCAAGGTGACCTGTTTTGCATAGACTGGGCATGCACCACATGTATGTATGAGCACAGTAGGCCTACTTCCTTATGTCAACTGCCTCTGTATGTTGACCAGTTTGTTACAGCAGCTTGGGTGGTCAACTTACGGAGGTTCTCCTATATTTCCTAAGTCAGACAGCTAGCAAGTAAACAGACCAGAACTTGAATCCCAAACCCTAGCCCCTATAAGCATATGGTCTGTGGCAGAGACAGATCATACAGGGCCTTATGGGCCAAGATAAAAGCTTTAGACTTTATTCTAAGTTCAAGAGAAAACCCTTAAAGTGCTCAGAGCAAGAGAAAGACCCAGTTAGAGGAGAATGTGCAGCATGGGAGTCACAGAGGAGCAGAGAGAGCAGCAAAGATGCAACTGTGTGGAGCAAGATTGTCACCCAAGTCACAGCAACCAGAAGATACAGAGTTACTCAGAAGAAAGTATGACCAGTCTCAATAAACAGGCCCTCAGACTGTTTTTCCTGGGGGAAATTGTTCTGGAAAAGCTCAAAACTAATGATCTAAATAAATATAACTAAGAAAAAAATCTGGAGAAGAAGAAAATTAACAGGTCTATACAAATAATTTTTTAAAGATCACATTAAGCATAAAAAGCACTTGCAGTCATAATACTCAGAGAACAAGAGGCAAAAAAGGCAATCAGTTAACAGGCACTCCAAGGTAAATTACAGACACTGGTATTTTGAGATTTTATGCTTACTGAGATAGGATAACCAGAAATACAGCCAAGTAATACACATGAACTACAACACCTACCTCAGAGATGCTAATAAAGGAACAAGTTGATATCGGTAAAGAACTTAAAAATCATGGCTCACATATAGAGCAGTCATACATGTATTAAACAAATAAATAGCAGTCTGGGGGTATTGGCTCTTGCCTGTAATCCCAGCACTTGGGGAGGTGAAGGCAGGAGGATCACTTGAGGTCAGGAGTTCAAGAGCAGCCTGGGCAACATAGTAATGCTGCATCTCTACAAAAAGTAGAAAAATTACTGGGTACTGGGCACAGTGGTGCACACCTGTAGTTCCAGTTACTTGGGAGGCTGAGGTGGGAGGACCACTTGAGCCCAGGAGTTTGAATTTGCAGTGAGCTATAATGATGCCACTGCACTCTAGCCACAGCAACAGAGTGAGTCTCTGTCTTGAGAAAAAGAAGAAAAGTAGCCGTAGCTAAACAATTTATTTTGTCAAATTAATTGTAATGGAATAGGAAATATCAGCGTGTAGTAAATAATAAGAGGGAATACAGTTAAACCTGGGCTA